TAGTAGTATTAGTATTAGTAGCAGTAGCAGTAGTAGTAGTAGTAGTAGCAGCAATAGTAGTAGTAGTAGTAGTAGTAGTAGTAGTGGAGTAGTAAGTAGTAAGTGCAGTGACAGCGCTGCTTAAGAAACAGCTACGCTCAGATGAGGGTACCCTCGATTTCTTAATTATGAGGCCTGCAGTTTTTATCATAAATAGTTTAGCTGACTCTGAGGGTACCCTCGATTTCTTAATACAAATTTCTTAATTCAGGAATTTGAGAAAAGGAATTTATGAAATGGAGCAGCTGTGGTATTTCTCATTAAGAAATGGAGCAGCTCTAGTATTTCTTATCAAAATTGAGAGGTTTCAACAACGGCCAAATCAAGAAATTGAGCCAAAAACAAGATGAATTAAGAAATTGTCTCCCGCGAGGTCAGGGCACCCTTGATTTCTTAATTTCTGTTTTCCCTGTAATTTCGAACCAAAATGTGTATGTGCGGCCGCCAAGGGGCTCAATTTCTTAAACCAATGATTTCTTAAACAGTGCTGTCGCTTTAGTAGTAGGCGCGCCCCCCTAGGCACTACGATTTGCTTGACAGTATAATATGGCCGACAAGTTGGTGTAAGGGGAGGGGGTAGTTCCGTGCAAACAGACCGACCGCATTTGGTAACCAATCACACGCGAACGTGAAAACCTCCCAGTTGCAGATTTCTGGGGCCTGCGTGGTTGCTGCTTGCACTCAACAGCGTGAGAAGATTCGAATATATAACCACGTAGAGCCATTATAAAATGGCCCCTTTAACACACTGTTCATAGGTTGGGGCAGAAGCCAATACATGAACATTACTACTGTCACTAGCCGCCTCCTCGGGGAATTCATAGTCTTCAGGTCTGGGGTTATAAGGGGACCGACACGAAGATTTGGAAACAGTATTTTGTGTTGGAAACCGCTAGGCCACTGACCAAAAACAACAGGTCGAAATGTCAGAAGCACATTTTGGTACCGAAGTCGTACTACCAGAGAACGAAAATCCATCCGGTTGCCGGAGACAGCCATTCCAGTACTAAAGTTGTACTACCAGAGAATGAAAATCCATCTGGTTGCCAGGGACAGCCATTCCAGAGAGCAAAAATCCATCTGGTTGCCGGAGACAGCCGTGGCAGTACTAAAGTTGTACTACCAGAGAACAAAAATCCATCTGGTTGCCGGAGACAGCCGTTCCAGTACTAAAGTTGTACTAGCAGAGAACAAAAATCCATCTGGTTGCCGGAGACAAAGTTGTACTACCAGAGAACAAAAATCCATCTGGTTGCCGGAGACAGCCGTTCCAGTACTAAAGTTGTACTACCAGAGAACGAAAATCCATCCGATTGCCGGAGACGGCCGTGGCAGTACTAAAGCTGTACTACCCGAAGACGAACATCCATCCGATTGCCGGAGACGGCCGTTCCAGTTCTAAAGGTGTACTACCAGAGAACAAAAATCCATCCAATTGCCTCAGACGGCCGTTCCAGTACCGAGGTTGTACTACCAAGGAGCGAAAACCGCCGACCGCCAAAGCTTGGAAAACGATAGGTCACGTACGAAGCCCACACTGGGAATTTAGATGGTACTTCTCAGTTTTAAGTCAAACGTAGCGCCTAGGCGGGGGGTTGGGCTAGTAATAGTAGTAGTAGTAGTAGTAGTAGTAGTAGTAGTAACGTAGTAGTAGTAGTAGTAACGTAGTCGTAGTAGTAGTAGTAGTAGCAGCAATAGTAGTAGTAGTAGTAGTAGTGGTAGTAGTAGTAGTAGTAGTTCTAGTAGCAGCAGCAGGAGGAGGAGAAGAAGGAGTAGGGGTTTAAGTGGTTGTTGTTGTTGTTCCACCCTGACTTAAATCTAAGGGTCGTCTGCGGACTTGTCTTATGTTCCTACAAGAAACGCGCAATCAACAAAGACAGCTGCGGATACTCCGTGACACACATTGGGTCGCCAATCTGTGTACCTGCATTATTCTAGGTCAACTATTTGCATTAGGATTTGCGCTGTGCATGGTTTGGAAAATCTTCACTGGTGCACTTGATATGTATCCTATTTACAGATCGATTTTCCGGTTTCCAGAAGCGCCAGTTCGTTTTTGCAGCCTTTTGGACATGTTAATCAGTGTGGACATGTACATGCCAGTTGCTCTTGCAGACATGTACCCTTTGAGATCTTTCAGTTGCTTTACGGACATGTATTTTCGCAATGAGTACAGACATGGCTTTGGACATGTGATTTTATTTGCAGACCGATTTCACTTTAAGACGCTGAAATCCTTCAGACACGCAACAAAGACTACAACGACTTGGACCCGCATCCCGCACGTGCGTCTGGGCGTGTTGAAGGTCAAGTAAACTGCAAGACACTGGATACTTCCTTCATGTTCTCGGGGTGTGGTACCCCTCACCTGCACGCGCGTTATGTGGGTTGATGTCTGCCTTCGGGAAGCCCAGATACGTGAATTAGAGGCTTCGGCCAGTCCTGCTCGTACAAAATTCCGTATTATCTCGTAAAAGAGAAGGAGGACGAGGCGGCCTTGCCAGTTCCTACTGAAGTCAACAGACACCAGCTATGCCAGCAGAAGCTTTTGACCACTGTGCATTTTATGCCCCAAATCATGTCGCCGACCTCGTCGTCTCGTCCATTTAGGCTTTTGTTTTCTCCTTGCCTCTTTGCTGCTGCTAGCCTTGCAAAGTAGTTGCCGTAGTTTCCTTCGTGCGCGCCGCATTTGCCTGCTTTTGGTTTTCACTGCTTTTTGCTACTGCTAGCGGCCGACGTTTGGCTTTCTTTCTTCGCTTTCGTGTGTCGTTCTTTTGCGCGTCTTTGGCGTCATGTTTGTCTTCTCTCCTTTCTTGTTCCTCGTCGTCGTTGGTTCGCACTATGTGTCCTGTGTTCTAAGCACTTCCTCCACTTCCTCGTTGCCTTGCCTGCTCGACCTCAAGGCCAGGCTTGGTTGTGGTTTAGTGGTTTAGCTGGGTCCTTCTAACTATAGAAGGCTTTAGGATACCCTGACTGAAATCTAAGGGTCGTCTGCGGACTTGTCTGATGTTCCTACAGGCAACGCATTGAAATCAACGTTGCAAGACAGCATGAGGGCAGCAGGGAGTCCACGGGCCTGCTGCCAACGAAGACAGCTGTGGATACTCCGTGGTGCACATTGGGTCGCCAATCTGTGTACCTGCATTATTCTAGGTCAACTATTTGCATTAGGATTTGCGCTGTGCATGGTTCGGAAAATCTTCACTGGTGCGCTTGATATGTATCCTATTTACAGATTGAGTTTCCTGTTTCCAGAAGCGCCAGTTCGTTGTTGCAGCCTTTTGGACATGTTAACCAGTGTGGACATGTACATGCCAGCACCAACATTCCAGTTACCAGCGTCAACAGATTGACCGGTGCCTGCGTTTGTCTTGGTGGCTCGCAGGGCACTTCATGGCCAGGAGGGGAGGCGCAAGACGGGGACAAGGTCACGATGTCCATCCACAACGGCTACCAGGAAGGTCAATTGGAGAAACGCATCCACACTTGGATCACTTGGCCAATGCGTCAAGTGAAGGGCTGACGTAAAATCAGGTGCAGGACTTGCAGGTTCACAGATTTCTGCCCCAAGTGTCAAGCAGAGCAATTGCCAGAATGAGGGGCGAGTGAAGCGAGAGAAGGGGCGATGTGGCTGACCTGAAACTTGCGTGAGGCAAGGAGAACTGGGAGTTGCATTCTCCTTTACGGCAGAACGTGCGGGAGGAAGTTCAAAAATATGCAGGAATGCAGAGGTGAAAAGAGCATCACAGCCGCAAGGAGAAGGCGACCAGACATCGCGAATCTCCAGCGGTTCAATGCGCTTCAGGGTGCAGCATTAACAGCAGCAGCAGCAGCAGCAACAACAAGAAGACCACCGCGACCGCCACCGCGACCGCCACCGCCACCACCACCAACATCAACACCACCACCAACAACAACACCAACAACAACACCAGCAGCAACAGCAACTTGAAGGATGTATCCAATGCCATCCAATGTCTCGTACCTTACTTGAGTTTGAAGAACACGCCCCATAGGCAGGTGCGGAATAGGGGTCCAAGTGGTTGTAGTCTTTGCTGCGTGTCTGCAGGATTTCAACGCTTCGGAAATCAAATCGGTCTACGAACAAAATCACATGTCCAAAGCCGTGCCTGTAATCATTAATCATTGCAAGAGAAAATTAAAGACATGTTCGTAAATCAGCTCAAAGGGTACGTGTCCGCAGGAGTACCATGTGAAAGAAGCTTGCAAGCGCATTGATGAAGATTTGTTTGCGTCCTCAAAAACGCCGCGCCCACACTTCCATTGATGAGCATCAAATTCGTCAACCACCAAGAGAACAGCAATCAGACTTGCACTATAAACCAGCAAGACTCTAGCAGCGCTACCCCCGGAGTGTCGAAGGATTATGTGTGCATTCATGGGTGCTGCCGTAACAGCTCACAAATGCCAGCCATACGAGATCATTTACGTAAGCGCTATCATGGTCCCATCATTGCAGTTTGATGGATTGTTTCTGCTCATGTTCACAGGGCTTCAAGATATCTTGCTGAGATCTCAGCTTGGCACCTATGTTGACAGATATTTTTGTCGTTGAGAATTCCAAGAAGCCAGAACAGACAAGCCAAGAAGGCTAAGCCAAGCCATTTAAGCTAATGATTTCAACACTTCATCAAGCGAGCTTTTGACAGCAAGTAATTTCTTCAGATCATAAGTGCCTACAAGCTAGGCAAGATGTTCATTGTGACATGCGCACAAGCGAGCCTGCGTGTGATGCCTAGGCATGCAGGCTCAACATCCTGCAACAACGTCACCCTGGCCTGAACCAAAGAGGCAAAACCCTGTGAGTTACACAAATCCAGCTGAACCCCAAACTCTGCTGCCCTCTCACTTCTCCGCATCGTGCTCTAGCTGGGCTGTTCGCTCGGGCCGGGCTTCTTGTCAACAAACTTGCGGGCACAGCGTGCTCCCCATCCAGAAGTTCAGATGTTAGGGTTTCCCTTCGCATGGCCTGATCCATCCTGTGGACCTTTTGCCACGTCCTTCAGGAAATTGTGGAGCTCCACGATGAAGCGTTCCGCATACTCCTGACAGGCTTCCTGGGGCCGATCGCTTTCATTGAAGACTACACGAGGAGGCTTGCAGACCTCCTGCAGTTACACTGTCCTTGCAGCCAGCTATTTCATGAGCCGGAGCTCGGCCGGAATGTGGGTGGCAAGCTTCAGCCAAATGTAAGGAACTCCCCAGGAGTGGTGCTGCAGCTTGTCCAGTCAACCCTGGTACTCGGGCAGGATTGTCTCGGCCCACAGCCACTGATCCTTGTCATCCTCCTTGGCCTGCTTGCAAATCATGCTCATGATGTGCTGGTGGCTGCCTGAGGTCAGCAGCTCCCTAGCCTTCTTTTCCCGGCCTGGGTGCTCACAGCCTGTTTTGCGAGTTCCAGCATGTTGCAGCGTTCTTTTCCACTACCCTTGTTCTTCTGGGTTGTTTGGTTTAGAGCCGGACTCTTTGAGCGTGTGGGTTCATCCCACTTGGCTGCCCAACCTTTGATTCCAGGAGGTGAGCCTTTGATGTCCTCCACCTTGACGACATCAACTCTCATCTTGTTCCCCGGCAGCCCAAGCTCAGGCGGTGTCCTTTTGTACCTGTTCCGTCCAGGTATTGGAACACATTTCTGCTGAGCACACGCACGATGTGCTTCGCCTCCTTGACATTCGTGCACTGCTTCACCTAAGCGATCTACAAGTAAACATCGCACCCGAGCATCTTCTTGGACTTCACGCACTCGTCCTTGAGCTACTCGTTCTCGCGCAAACTCTTGTAGTGCTGAGTCAGCGCTGGTGCCCCAAGCTTTTCACGGAGCTGGGGAAGCGCCAACCACTTGCCATGCTCTTTGTCGATTTGCTTTTTTCCATGCGTGGTGGCTCGCTCTTTTTTGACGAACTCAAAGCTTCTGTTCATGATCCATGTGCACCTGAAGGCTTCCTCAAAGTCGAAGCCGTGCAAGTCCTGGTACATCTTATTGATCTCACCGGTCTGGCACTTGAAGCCTGGGTATGCGCTTGCCCTTCTCCACTCCGGCTACTGAAGTCTCAGCCTGGCGACCAGGAGTCTCAGCCATGCTTCCGCAGATGCTCTGGAAGAAGCTCAGACTTTCAAAAGTCCCACCCACCGCTCCCGTCCATGTTCAGAGGGTTGCGGATTGACACGACTTCACAACACATCCGGTGCCTGGACAGAGCACAGCCTACCCATGGCCTCCCACTATGATGACAGCTTCGCGGATGATCGGTGCCCGCCGCTGCTTCACTGTAAGTTTTTTTGCCCTACGCGATGATGGAGCTGAAAGAGGTCTTCCCAGTCGAAGTTGCGTGAGCTAGGCATGGCCTCAGCACATGTCATGATGATATCTTTCTCCATGCCAAGCCTGCTCACAAGACGACTTTTTGGTGATGCTACTGCTACTGCTCAGCCACGGCTGAACCTTGGCAGAATGTTGCTCACGCTACTTGACGGTCATCACTGTCGTTCGTGAACTTCTGACGCGCGTATTGTGGCTGCCGGCGTAAATGGCACTAAGTTCTATAGTCATGGCGTTGCTTTTACATGTTGACCTACTGCACACCGACTATGATTCATGTTAGCTTCATTTCGCTGTAACATTACAGTTACAGTTGCATGCAATTGCTGGACTCATTGGGTTATCGCATGTATCCTACGAACAGATTGGCATGCTATTCTCCGCTCTCGCGCTGCTCAAGAGTGGTTGCATTTGTTGCTGAGCTTCATTCGCATGAGCATTTACGTTCCTCTAAGCATCCAAACGTTGGGATGCCTTTTGCCAGAGACCTAAATTGTCGCACTGTAGATGTAGAGCATTGCGACTCTCATGGCATGAGTATGCAGCAATGGGGGGAGGAGGAACATCTCACAGGATCTCCTCAACAGATTCTGCGGAAAGCGCATCGGCGCTTACTGTACCCTTGCGCTCTGCTTTTCAAGCTGACAACAGAAATGCTTTTCAGCATTCTTGTGGAGTTGTTTGGAAGGCAGCTTGTTGCAAGGCTGGCCACCATTGCCGGAAGGGTGGATTCGCGTGATCTCACGGTCAACTGGCAAGGCTCGAGACGGTGTGGGAAATCCCGAAAGGAAAAGAGTTGAAGCGGTTGATAGGACAACCAAACGTTCATTCCGTTTCTCCCGCTTGCAGGTTTTTTTCGTCGACCAGAACAATTCCAGTGGAGTTGGACAGATGGAACTACCAGGTGGACCACAGGACAGCTTCATAAGCTTGATGAGGTGGGATCTCTGTACCACCTCATCCCCGCACAGGAGGCAGAATCCAACTATGCTCAGAGCTTCCGTCAATTGGCACCAGGGGCAGCAACCCCAAGGCTAGCCTCACGGTGATGCGTTTGCCATGCCTTGACACAAGTCCCATTCCCAAAGCTGGATCCAGGGACCTGTGCGGGGCATACTAGGGCTTGGATTTGCTCGTTCTGATTCTATTCGTTGCGCCTACTCTTGGTCTTGTTGACGCGCTACTCGAAACCTTGCCTAGGCAAATGGCCAAAATCATAGATAGCATCATAGATAGCTGCGCGTTGGGAGTCTTGCATGTTGGTTTGACGTTAGGATGTCAAACTTATGATGTGCATGCGACCATCACGACAACTTAACAGACAAATATGACCCTTCCCCTCAGAATGCGTAGTGGTTTTAAGGGATGGCGGAGATTGGAGTCTAAAGATTCCGGCAATCCTCGAACCTTTTGTAGAATGAAATAGACTGACTCCCTGAACTATTCGATTTATTTGGACGAATGCCGCCGAGCAGAATTTTTAGTCGCGCTCATCCCGCATCCTCATCATTCTTGCTTTTTGCCGTGCTTCTTGATATGAAGGTGAAGTGGAATACCGTGCAGCTCCCAGATCAGAAATGGCTGCAACCTGTTGTGGGACCCCCCCAAGATAAGAAATACAGCCGTCGGCCCCCTTTGCGGGGCCTGGAAAAGCTGCTAAATCAGAAACGTAGCCCGACCTACCAAAACCCGCAAAACAAGAAATATAGCGCCCTACATTTCTGAGTTTAGTCATTTTCGGGGGTTGGAAAACCATCAAAATAAAATCCATATATATATATATGTATATATGTGTGTGTTATTTTTGTTGTTGTAAGATATTTTTCGGAACATCTACAGCCCGCCAAAGAAATAACTACATATATATATATATATATATATCACCTGTATACCTGAATATTACGGCGCGGCCACTTGCGGTCATTTCGCTCGNNGCCTAGGTTTTCCGGCTCACCTTTAAAATGTCTCCTGCGGGCTCCCTAGGGGCTCTAAAATCTCGGAGATTTTAGAGCCCTTCGTAAAAGCTAGAGGCTCAGAGGCTCTACAATTTTCGAGATTTTTGGTGCAGGCGGCGCGACCAAAAATCTTGGAGGTTTTTGGTCGCGTGGCCCTTGCCTCCGGAGCAGTTTTCCGCGTGATTTATCTCTCTTTGGCTGTCTGCACGGCTGCTCGGTGGAGCGCATAGACCCGGGAGGGAGAACCAAAATCTGTCAGAATTTAAAAGTTGGCCGTATCTGTCCACGCGGATTTATGCGCTCCCCAGAGCCGCCGCGCAGATAGCCCAAGAGAGATAGATGAGGAGGAAAGACCGGGCTGGATGCGGGGGCCGCGCGACCCGAAATCTCCCAAGATTTCGAACCATTTCTTTCTCTTCGGCTGTCTGCGCGACTGCTCCGTGTAGACCCGGGGCGGAAATCCAAAATCTTTCAGAATCCATTAGGTTGGCCGTTTTTCGTCACGTGCGGTCTTATCTATTGATTGTTCGTCGGGATTCACGTGCGATCTTATCGGTGCGGTTGTTCGGAGGAGCGCGTAGACCCGGGACGGAGAAACAAAATCTTTCAGAATTTGTAGGTTGGCCGTGTCTGTTCACGGGGATTTATACGTTCCCCCGAATTGCCGCGTAGATAACATACGTGAGATAAATGAAGCGGAAAGACCCGGCTGGATGCGGGGATGTAGGGGCCGTGCAATTAAAGGACCGCGTGAGCAAGAATCTCCCAGGATTTCGAGTTGTTTCTCTCTTTGGGAATCTGCGCGTCGGCTCAGGGGAACGTGAAGAGTCGGGCGGGAGATTTAAAATCTTTCAGAATCTATATAGCACGTCTGTTCTTAGAATATTGATTATTCATTTGGTATTATATGCATTTTTTTCTAGAAAATATAGTATTTGTTCATCGGATTTCTTATTATGGATTCTCTCAAATGAATATTTTCTGTTGGTATAGGTAATGGGCTGACTCTAATATTTCTTAATTTAGGATGGGTAGGTATAAGAAGGAAATTCGGGAGCCGGCAAAGCTTATATAGATGGGAAAGGAAATAGAGATTTCATTTATTTACATGAAAGATTTATTTATATTCATTCGATAATTTGGTAAATGAGATAATTTTTCCCAAGAAATATTTATGTAAATGAATATTTCAGTTATTAAAGAAAAGAAAATTATTGGCTATAAAGAAAAGGATTTTATAGATTTTTGAAGAATTGATATTTGGATTCTGATTTCTTTAGAAGTTTTAAAAAATGATTTTATGAAGAATATTCTAAAGGGTTTTCATCTTTGATTTGGGCGAATTATTTTCACGGATTCGTGATAATTTCGCGAAAGAAAAATCGAAAGGATATTTTTTTCTCTGAAAAATGGACGAGAGTAGTTATTATATAAAATAGAATGATTCTCCAGACGAATTTTGAGAAATTTTAAAAATTGATTCTTTATAATATATGATTAAAATCTTTTCTTGCTTGCAATTCGATCGTAGAATGAATGACTGAAATTTATAAAATATCTTATGTAATTTTTTGATTTTGAAGATATTTCTTGGCCCGTAGATAAGGATTATTTGATTTATTGATTAGGCAGAAAAGATTGCATAAGGCAATGAAGCCTTAGATTTATAATTTATGATCTACGTATTTCTGGATTTTAATTTCGTTAATATTCAGGGATTTGGCATTGAGGATATATAATATGGATATTTTTACGGGGTCGAGGCTTGAAATATTCAGAAATTGATGATGATATTGGCGAAAGGAATATGGGATTTCCGCGAAGGCGGCGTCAATTAATTTGGATAATATTTATATGATGACCTAAGGAAATAATGAGATTTTTTAAATCTTGGAATTTAAATTGATTTATATATTCAAAAAAGAAAATACGAAAGGATTTTATTTAAATTTGAATTTGGTCAAATGCCATAAGGAATTTGGAATAACCGCCATATTTATTATATATATATATTATCTGAAATTCTTTATATAAAATGGAATAATTCAATATTGTGATGAGATCTCTTATAGAATCTTTAATAAATCTAAACTTTCTGAGATTTTAAATTTTTCGGAAAAGCTAGGATTTTGAATATTCTAGATTATTGGTGCAATCTATATGAATAAATATCTCGGAGAATTTTGGTCGTGCAATCTATGCCTCCGGAATGGATCTGAAATTTAGCAGTATTTGATTGTATATCCGCTTGTTCGGCAGAGCTTAGGATTAGAGAAGCACATAGGTCCGAGACGGAAATCCAAAATATTTTTCAGAATTTTTGAATTGGTCGTGCCTATTCACGAAGATTTATATATTTCTTCGAATTGCCGGAAGGATAGTCGAAGAGAGATAAATGAGACGGAAAGATTGGATTGGATATGAGGACCGCGCGATCGAAGATTTCTATTACCAAAAAATTTCAAAGATTGCGAATTATTTATTTCTTTGGGCGTCTAATATCTGCACGCGAATATCCGAGGCAGAGATCTTTCAATCTTTCAGAATTTATTCGTCATATGCGAATTTAAAATAACCTTCATTTAAGAATCAATTAAATCCCAATTTAGGGTTTAGTTAAACCTTAATTTAGGATTTATCTAAACCCTAATCTACTAAGTGAATCCTAATTTACGAATTAATTAAATCTAAATTGGGATTTAATTAAACCGTAAATTAGGTTTAACTAAATCCTGAATTAGGGTTTAACTAAATCCTAAATTAGGATTTAATTAAATCATAAATTAAGGTTTCACTAGACCCTAGATTAGGGTTTAATTAAACCCTAAATTAGGATTTAACTAAACCCTAAATTTCGGTTTAACTAAACCCTAAATTTGGGTCTAGCTGAACCCTAAATTAGGGTTTAGTTAATTCCTAATTTAGGGTTTAGTTAAACCTTAATTTACGGTTCAGCTAAACCTTAATTTAGGATTTAGTTAAACCTTAAATTAGGGTTTAGTTAAACCCTAATTTAGGGTTCAGCTAAACCCTATTTTAGGGTTTAGTTAAACCCTAATTTAGGGTTTAGTTAAACCCTAACTTAGGGTTTAGTTAAACCCTAATTTACAGTTTAGTTAAACCCTAATTTAAGGTGTAGTTAAATCCTAATTTAGGGTCTAGTGAAATCTTAATTTACGGTTTAGTTAAACCCTAATTTAGGGTTTAGTTAAACCCTAATTCAGGGTTTAGTTAAACCCTAATTTAGGGTTCAGCTAAACCCTAATTTAGGGTTTAGTTAATCCCTAATTTAGGGTTTAGTTAAACCCTAATTCAGGGTTTAGTTAAACCCTAAATTAGGGTTAGTTAAACCTCAAATTAGGGTTTAGTGAAAACTCTAAATTAGGGTTGAATTAAACCCTTATTTTCAGAAGTTTCATATGGATTC